GTGATGCTAGACTTAGATATTAGAGATATATATGTAGTTACAAATGTAATTTCAAAAACTCAATAAAGTACTAGCGTAACTGCTTATAGTTTAAAAAAAAAAAATAATAAATAAAGCAAAGGTTTAGGTTACAGATAATTTGTTTGAGCCTCTAATCTTAATATCTTATAAATATAGAATTCAATTATAAATTTTTTTTATATAATCTACTTGTAAAAAGTTTAACTGAGTTTTAATAAAGATAGAGGCATGGTCTCACTGTTAATATTAAAAAAAAAAACAATAAAGCAATAGAATAGAGTAATAGAAATTAGAATAGAATATAATTTTTATCAATAGAACAATAAATTAACAATACTGTTTATATTATATACTATTATTTGTATAAATATAGTTTAAGATAGTTAGACAAATTTATAAAATTTATCTTTTACAAAAAGATAACAAAAATATTTATATACTTAAGAACTTGGTTTATAATTTTAAAACTTACTAATTAATTTATGTCTTTATTCTTTAATAACTATGTTATATTATTTTATATTATATCTTATATAATTAGCACATTATTTGATTTAATTTTTAAAGTTTAAATAGATAATATAAGTATTTATGTTTTTATATAAATCTTTTAAAAACTATTAGTTTAAATTTAATAAAATTTTAATATATTATAAAAGAAGTTATTTTTTATAAAATGAAATAAATTTTATTTAATTTTAAAAATAGAATCATATAGATTATTTTTATATAGTAATATTAAAATTTTTATTTAAATTTGATATATATTACTAATAAACTTTTTTATTTTTTAATTAATTAATAAAAAAATTTTATAATATTATAAATAAAATTATTTATTTATTATAATAAAATTTTAAAATAGACTATTTTTAATTGTTATCAGAGGATACTAGTATCCTACCTTAAAATGACCAATCAAATTTAAAATAAATATATAAATTTTATATATATATATATATATAATTTATATATTAACACTAATATATAAACAAATAGCTTTACTAAAACATTTTTTTTTGCATCACTTAATCATTTATAACCATAACTCTAATGCCACCTATACAACTGTTTATTTCGCATAATAATGAGCAGAGTGCAAGTCGAATTTTGGCCTAAGTTAAGTTTAATTTGGGCCAAAATTCGAAATAACACTCATAGGCATTATTACATAGAAATATGGTAACAATTTCTCAATAAACTTTGAATATACAAACCCTAATTTGATCAACTTATTTGAACTATGCACACAATTGCCAACTATGGCTTACATCTACGCAAGCATACGTATAATTTATATAACAATTTCTACTAACATCTATTTTCGGCTTATAACACTAACTCTAAATCAGACAAGCACTAATTTCCAAAGTGATAAGATCTATTGCATTATATGTATGTATGTATATACGTACATTTAATGCAAATTAAGATGGGCATATAAAACTGATACTATGTACAATTTATGAAAGTTAATATTTCTATGACCCACCTAAACCCCCTAATACAAAAAAAGGACAATACTCGTACTTACTCTAACTCTAAATATTAAAAACGGGTGACTTATAAAAAATTGAATTTTATAAGCCTATGTACATTAACCTTAAGTCCAAATACGTATAATTTTTGTGTACATCCATCCAAATCTGATCGTCGTATCATATAGCACTATGAATTTTACCGAATATCTTTTCCTAACTACACTTAAATCTGATATTCAAAGAAAAAATCATGATAATACAATTATATATATGCCAACCAAAGTTCATAAATTGCAACATAAGCAACATAAACACCCTCCCGTTACTTAACCTTCAATAATTTTTTAAAAATTCAATTTCAACATACTAACAAACATAAATTCGTGACAACATAAATTCATGAATTGCAATCTAAACATAAACACCTTCGCATTACTTAATCTTTTGCTTTTAGCTTCATAACTATTCTTTCAAAGAACAGTTTCGAGAATCATGATACTATGACTTACACAAAGCATATTGACGTTTGTTTTTCTTTTTTGACCCAGACTCTGATATTTCAACTTGATTATTTGAGCGAACAAGTTTGTTATTCTGATTCTCAATAGCAGACAAATATCTCTTATTAGCGGGATGCCCCTTGCCTTTATGTTGAGAAGGGTTTGAAATTATAAGACTATTAATTTCTTGACCTATGCCTTGTTCAGATAAGTTTGAAGCAGTACTACTACTTTGTGCTGAAACCTGTTCATTAATAAAATGTTGCAGTAGGTCCTCTAAAACCTTATTGGTACCATTCATAATCGCGATATTTAATGCTTTTTTACAAATTCCGAGTCCACGACCATAAGAAACTTTTTTTGAATCTGATTTCACGGCAATTTTACTATTAACTTTTTGACCACGAATTCTTTTTAATGTCTCAAATATTACAGTTGGAAGTGATTTACTTTTACTTTGTACTAGCTGGATAGTTAATTCCTGATTTTTATTAAATAAAGCAATATTTTCTTCAGAATACCAATGAAAAGGTATTAACTTTATATTAAAAAGTGCATTTTTTGATTGGATTATTACGGAAAAAAAATGTCGACAGACAAATCCAACATATATCAAATATAAACATGTACAATAATGTGTACCGTCATCAAGTAAGACAACAAACTATGAATGATTTGTAGTACTTTGGATATGCTTGACCTCCCAGACTTCGATCACTACACTATCGGAACAATCCTCTAATGCCATATTTAATAAGATTTGTGGCTCCTTATAATCATCTTCGATAAATCCCACTTTATGATCCAATTGCTGACTAGCACTAACATTAAGCTCATTATTATGTAGTAAAGACCTATATAGAAGGCTTTCTAAAATTTGTTTTCATTGTAAAGCTAACAAATTTGGTGTAAGATATTTTACACACATATCATTAATTTCCTTAAAAATTGTATTGGAAATGTGTGAAAGTCCAGTAGTGGAATTCATATTCCTAAATTCTTGTAACTTTGCATACTTGATCTCATTCTTAAGTCACAAGTCGATTCCAGCCTGAAGTTGGCATAAAGAACTTCCCGAGTTTGCTTCTAACTTTATAATATGATTTATACATTCAACACGTTGTGTCAAATGTGTATTTGCTGAAAATTTGCGCTTCATAAATGCATATGCCCAACATTCTTTAGTTGAATATAAAACACGATCACAATAACTTTGAACCTCTGAATAATTATTCATTAACTCTATCCAATGACGATCAAAATCAGATACTACAAAAGAATTTCGCAAAGTATAAAAATCAGAAATAAAATTATCCCACCTATTATTAAGCTTTTTCTTAAGCCTTTTAACTAGATTTTGCCGAATATGAAATGCATAATGCCTAACAATAGCTTCAGGATACTCATTTGTTATAGCTACTTGCATCACTGAATCAGCATCTGTAAAAATTATTGTTGGTTGAAGACCATTAGTGGCTAATTTAGTTTGTTTTAAGATCCATTCATAAGTCGACACCGTCTCATCAGAAACTACAGCTGTGGCTGCAATACAACTTTTGTTATTTGAATCAATTACAATAAAAATGCTTAAAGGCATCATATATTTGTTCGTTTTGCATGTGTTGTCATTAATAATGACATTATAAAACCGAGCCTATAAGCATCTCTGGTCAGGGGACATCCAAAAAATCCTAGAAAGCCTATTATTAATGCCTTTAAAGTCTACCTTAAAGTACCAGTCAGGATTTTCTTGTTGCACTTTTGAAAGATATTCATATAAAGTTAAGGCATCGTTTTTAATCTGAGCTCCAGCTCTGTATTTGCAAATCATATTGTAAAGATCTCGATTGTAAATTTCTTGATCAGGAAATTTATTTTGCAATATTCGTTTTAAGACAGTTGCCCCTAATTGACATTCCTGAACATAAAACCGGATCTCTTCTTTAATATTGTCAGGCACCTTACACAAGGACAGTGAAAATTGCAAATGTAATTCTTCTTTATTTAATACGTGATTATAATCCTTAGTGAATTTATTAACAAAGACAAGATTCATACGTTTCCGATATGAAGCATTCATAGTAAATTCATACTCAATATGACCAGATTCTCGATCTCGATTTTGCGTAGAGTCTAATTTTTTCTTAGGTAAGTATTTTCCACTATGCCTACATTTATATGTCTTACAAACGAAAATATTATCCTCCTTTTCAGCTCGCGCGATTTTCGTTTCAAATCCTATTCTAGTTGAATAACGTTTTAGACATTGTTCAAGCATGTCAAACGAGACAAATGTCTGTCCAACATAAATTTTTTTTAGAGGACTATCTTCAGGTTCATTATCCAAACTACCATTTTCAGATACAAGATCTTTGCCCTCTTCAATTACTGATAAGTCATCATCTACTGCTATAAGTTCAGGTGGAACCAGATTGATGCTGTCATCTGAAAGTTCATAGTCCACATAAGATTTGTCAAAATCATATTCATAACCTTGAATTTCAGACATCTGAAAAAAATTTCTAAGTTAAATTAATTTGACTAAGAAAATAACATTGCTGAACAAAAAAAAAAAACAAACGAAATTACTTTGCAAAAAGGGAAAAGCCCACACAACAAAAAAAAGTGCCACACGAAAGAAGCAAGATCCACACAAAAGAAAAAACTATGAAAAGAAAATAGCAACACCAATAAAAAAAACTATAAAGAAAGTACCATGCTAAAAAAAAAAAAAAAATTAGAGAAAAGAGCCATCAAACAAAAAAAGCCATGCGAAGAGAAAAGAGACACATGAAAAGAAATAAGAAAAAGAGCCATAAAAAGAAGAAAGTCATGCACGAAGAAAAAAAGCTGCAAAGAAAAAAGTGCCATGCCAAAAGGAAGTTGTAAAGAGAAAGTGTCACACCATAAGAACCGTGAAGAGAACCACAAGAGAAAAGCCACGGCAAGAGAAAAAGCCACAAAGAAAAAGAGTCACACCAAAGGAAAAGGTCACAAAGAAAAAGAGCCATGCCAAGTGAAGGAGAGCCATAAATAGAAAGTGTCATGTGAAAAGTTCCATGAAAGTAAGTGCCATGTAAAGAGAAAAGTGCCACACCAAAAGAGCCGTGAAGAGAGCCACGAGAGAAAAGAGCCACACCAAAGGAAAAAAGCCACAAAGGGAAAAGAGCTATGCCAAAAGAAGAAGAGCTGTGAATATAGTGTCATGTGAATAGCAAAGAGCTGTGAATATAAAGTGCCGCATGAAGAGAGAAGAGCCACACCAAAAGAGCCATAAAGAGCCACAAGGGAAAAGAGCCGTGCCAAAAGAAAGAAGCTACAAAAGAAAAAGACTATGCCAAAAGAAGGAGTGCCGCAAAGAGAAAGTGGCACGTGAAGAAGAACTACGTTAGTAAAAAAAGCTACATAAAACAAAAAAAGACAAGAAAAAAATAACTCACATACAAAAGTCAAGCTACGTAAAAGCAAGAAAAAAGTGCCGATTAGCAAAAGAAAGATTCGTGATTACAAAAAAATAACAAGAAAAAAAAATTTTATATGCAGAATAAGCTATGTTAACACAATAAGTAAAAAAAGTTAAAAGGAATAAGCTTTTTAACAATAAGTAAAAAAAAGTTAAATCAGTAAAATTTTATACAATTGATAAGTAAAATGATGCATAATTATGACTTCATATAAGGGTGGATATTAATATCCATTGGTGTTATATTAATTTTTACTTTAAAATATATATTGTTATAGAACAAATTATTATTTTATCATTATTAATTATTATTTATTATTATTATTTTATTATTATTAGTATTAGTTATTCTTATTATTATATTATTATTAGTAGTAATTATTAGAACTTTCTAGTCACTTAGCAATTACTTAGTCACTTAGTCACTTAGTTGCTTAGTTGTTTAGCTGTTTAGTTACTTAGTTGCTTAGTTATTTAGTTACTTAGTTACTTAGTAATTAGTTATTTAGTAATTAATAATCATTAGTTGTAAGAACCTTCTAGTTATTTAGTAATTGCTTAATCATTTAGTTACTTAGTTACTTAGTTACTTAGTCACTTAGTTACTTAATGCTTAGTTGCTTAGTTACTTAGTTATTCAGTTGCTTAGTTGCTTAGCTTACTGATATATAAACTCTGCTAAATTCTTCAAGTATAATTAAACAATTAACACTTTTCTTTCTTTTAATATTGTAAACATATCTTGAGATTCTTTAAAAACAAAAATCTAAGAATAGCTCTTTTTGTTATTACTTTAATAAATGGCTTTTAATTATAAACTATATTGATACTTATTCTTTAAAGTAATTCTTATAGACAAAGTTTATTTTCTCTTAGTAAAATAAAGTAAAGTTATTAGTATTGCATTACTTTTTCCAAACTGTCTTAAAAAAGAGTATAGTTTTTGACAAACATCTAACAGAAACTATACTTTTCTCTTAGACATTATATATATCTGCAAAAAATTTTCTATATCTTGTTATCATTATAGTATAAAAATTTAGAAGACTTTTATCTATTCCTTAGATTATAGACTTTCACAAACAAATTTGCCTACATAATTGTATTTTTTTGACTCTGATTTACTTTTTTAAAATATTAAAGTATCTAAATAAAATTTAATATAATAATATTTGGAAATAAGGATTAGGCTATATAAATTTATATAGTTGGTTTTTATATCTTGTCTGCATTGACAAAGTGAGAATCATAAATTTTTTTTTTATATAATCAACCAATAAAAATTCTCTATTCGATAATCATGTGATAAAGTAATAGGTAATATTCATCTAATTGGCTAATTTATATAGATCAAATTCAAATATTATAGAATTATTAATGAAGCTATTCTTTATATTTTACAACCTTTATTATGACCTTTAGCCTATATTTATTAATACATATTATTGACCTAATACTTAATCCAAAGCTATGCTCACTAATCTAAGTTTAACATGTAAGTTATATTCATTTAAAATAGTTCCTCAGGCAATTGATTTATACCAGCCAAATGAATGTCTTCTATGAGTATATGTTTAATACCAAATATGAATATAAGTATATGCTGCAATATGAAACATTGATTTTACCTTGCAATGAATACCTTACTTTATCATAAACTAACAAAACCAAAATTAAATACTAGATCAATTAAGGAAGGTATGTTACAAAGAAGTAAAAGGAACTATAATGTGATTGGTTTAGGCAAACTAAAATAACTAATATCTTTATTTGTTATATTGAACATATTACAATAGGAGAGAAAATAGAAAACTGAAAATTTTCACAAGTAGAAATAGGATTTACTATAACAAAATCAACTTTAAGAAAGTTAGGTTTCATTTGTGTTTGCACACTTGTGTTTATTTTTATTAACCTTAGCTTTATTAAGGATTTTCTTGAGTTTATAGAGTTACTGCCACAATCACTACAATATAGGTGTTCATCTTTCACTAGTTTATTAACATCTCGGCATTCACATTCGATGCAAACAGCTAGATAGATTTCAGCTGAATAGTATGGCTTTTCAATTGTTGCAGAGCAAGACAAAGAGTTATTAACGAAGACTCTAGAAAAAAGTTCATTAATAGAATCCTTTCTGTAAGTATCAAATTCTAGATTTTTATCAGATTCTTCTTTACTTTCACTGAACTCATCTACATTTTTACCTGACTCTTCTTCTTCTGTGCTTTCAGATTTATATTGATTAGATTCATCCTTCCTATTCATGTTTTCTTTATTAGCTTCTTCATTAGGACTAACAGTTTTTTCTGTATTGTCATCAACTTCTGGCTCTTTTGGTAACATAGTCATCGCCAAATTACATGTGTCATGAAATGTCATATTACAGATATAAAATATTGTATCTAAAAATCATTTCAATAAAGCCTTATCTTTTTTAGAAAGCTTCTTTGCACTGAAGAGAAGACAAGGCTTATTACATTCAATGCAATTCACAGTAATACTAACATTTTTTGCATATGTAGCAGAAGGACTAAATAGCATGGTATGTTTGGTTTTTGCTTTACTTGTCTTTGTTTTTGTTCTGGATTTTATCAACAAAGGTCTATAGTTTTCTGTTGTTTGGATACCATATATCTCTTCAAATAACCTGTAATGCAAATCATCACAGGTATTGAATCTGGTAGACAGTGCAGCTGCTTGAAGTCTTCTAAAGAGCAATGAGGAGACCAACATATAGTACAGGATGATTTACTACATTTTTTAATTAAAAAAAAGTAATGTCTTAAGGTGCAACAATGGTCAAAAAATTATATAAATGTGGCTTTAAATAAGAAGAAATGATTTTTGTTACTTGTTATTTTATTTATTTATTTTTTTTTTAAATGCAAATGATTTAATCAATACTTACCTTTTGCTTTATATCTGCCGCAGTAAAATTTTCATAGAGAATATTATTATCCAAAAGCAGAATTGTTTCCCAGAATTTCTCTATTTCTATTTCTGAAGCTGCATTAAATGTTTCGAATGGTTCATTTTTAAGGAACTGACAGCTGAACATATTATGAATTAAGCTAATTGGAACTTTAAGACTTTCAATAAGATCTTCTTTAAAGCCATTATTTTATTTAGCAGTTTTATGAATATCATTTATTGTACCAACTTTATTTATTAATTTTTCTGATTGATCATTCATTTTAGCTCTCATCAATCTAACACTTTGTAGTCCTAGATTTAAAATTGACATAACATGCTTAACAAGATTTTTCTATGAATATTATGATGGTGTTCAAACTGCAACAAAATAATCGAGATCTAAAATGAGAAAAAGCAAATATAGGAAAGTTGAACATGAGTATATGTGCAGTGGTGATCTGGACCACCATCTGTATAGAGACATAATATAGGTTTATCGGCTAGCTCTTCTGTAAAAAGTATGTTATATAGTTCTGTTGCATGGCGAAGAGGTAAGAAAGGTTGAAATATTGGATCCTTTAATCCTATGTATACTTTGTCTGCATAAAAATTATTATTTATTGATTCAAGTATATTACATATTATTGTCATGCTTGGTATAATACCTGTTTTAGTATAATCATAGTCAGCAACTGTAAATGTAATATTTCTACTAACTACAATTTTCTTTCTTCTTTTAACTGCAGCCATAGGAAATCTGGGCTCTCTAACTTTATAATGATACTTGTTATTCATAAAAACAAAATTTGTAATTTTTCAAAATTTTATAGCAAATTCTTTTTTGTAATGAAATATTGCAGATGCATAATGAGCATCTTAATAGTAAGCATGTAGCTGACATGTTTAGACCATAAATTTTAAAGGTAAACAACTAATAAATTGTAAACTACTAAGCTGTGTTGGATTCTTAGACCAAAACTGTAATCTTAACCATTGTGTACTAGGTATTAGTGTTTCAGTTGAATATTTCTTTTCAATTTGATGCAAAAGATCATTTACAGATATTGCAGTTGCAAGATGTATGATTGGGTCGTGTCTGTGTTTATCTACTACAGTACAGCATTAGTTGC